AGCACAGGCACAGGCGCGGGCAGCGGCAGGGGCCCGGCGGAGCCTGTGCTGCGAGGCGTTGACGCGAGAGTGGCAGGTCTGGGGGAGGGGGCCGGGCGCCCCGCAAAGCCGGCGCCGCGGTTCAGCGGCGCCGCGGTGTAGGAGTCGCCCGCCAACGCCACGAAGCCGCTGGAGTTCGACTCGCTTTCCTGGAGAGGGTGAGGCGGGGGCGGTGCAGGTGCGCGGATGTGGCGGCTGCGATGGCGTTGTTCGCCGCCACTGGGACGGCGCGGACGCGCAGCAGGGGAGGGTGGGGGGACGATGCCAGCCCGGCAAAGGGGCAGCCTCAGGGGCCGGTTCTGGTGCCGTTCAGAGGAGGGCGCCCAGGGTGCAGGGACCGCTCGCGTCGATTCTGTGTACACCGCGTGGCCAGGGCGGAAAGCAGGGGGGCCGCCGAGACTTGGCTCGCGCCTTTTGAGGAGAGCCACCGCAACCCACTCTGGACAGTAACACTGAGTGACTCACCAGCGGCTCTCCCACGTCCTTCACCCACGCCGCAAAGTGCAGCGCCTGCGGCGGGGCGCCGGCGGGGGCGCGCGCGCGCGTGTGCGCGGTTGGCACAGCAAAGGGGGTGCGGGTGCGGAGGGCCTCGGCGAACCCGATTGGCGCGGCATCGGACTGGTGCTGGTGCCGGTACCAGCCCCGCGCCTCACCCAACACCACTGGCAATGTGAGGCGCGCCCGCCGCCACCTGAGGCGTGCATGCTCGACCAGGTCCAAGGCAAACGCCACATGGACGTTTGCTGGGACCTGACCCAACTACCCTCAAACTTGAGAACATCGGGCCGTGAGCCCAAGCGACCCCGCCCCCACGCCTCACCACCGACCTGCACAATGTTGGCGTGCCTGCAGCTGAGCATGAGCCTCTTGGCCTGAATGCGGCCCGGCAGCTGCGACGCATCGTGCAGCATCACCTGGGGCGAGCCACGCGGCGATGATGCGCGGCGGGTGCACTCAAAATGACAGGGGCATTTTGATCGATGCACCGCGGCGGATGACAAAGTGGCGCTCACAAACAACACATGATGGTGAATCTCAATGGCCGCACGCAAGGGGGCCGCTGCAGCGAGGAGCAAGGCAGCATGCCCTGCTGTCGACCGCGCACAAACCCCCCGCCGCGCCGCGCCGCGCCCACCTTCACTGCAACATCCTGGCCTTGCCACCGGCCCTTGTACACTCGTCCGAACGACCCCGCCCCCAGCAGCACGCCTGTTCAAGAGAGCAGGCGCGCCCGGTGATGGGATCAAGGAGTGGCGCGACGCAGGCAGGGGACGGAGGCAACAGGGAACCGAGCAATCATGGCGATGTGCACGCCACAATCTTATACGTGATACCGCCCCGGCAGCCGCGCAGGCGCGGTACAGTACTGGGTGGATGCGGAGTGGGGCAGCGTGGAAAGCTGCGCCCTGTTGAGACGGCACCCTGCGTCCTTCCCCAATGCAGGTCCACCAACGCGCTGATGTGCGCCATGGTCCATTGCACTCTGCACTCTTAACCCTCCACCCTGGCCTTGCAGCGTCAGAGAGCTTGTTTTCAAACACGTTTCTGGGAGCGGAGCAACAAATGTGCTCACCCAGGTCTATGTGACTAAGCAGTGGGTCCCGGGGGTCGCCCTCGAGCCAGGGCGCCGTGTGGCAAGCAACCATGCGCCAGCCCAGGCCAGGGCCGCCGGCGCCAGAGTTGGAAAGCCTGGGGGGGGGGGGGGGCGCGGGACGCGGCAAACCAAGAGAGTCGGTGGGATATGCTCGCCACCAGTTTCAAGTTGGCAAGTGTCGGGAGCTTGCATCAGTGCTTGAGGCGAAGCGTGTAACCGGGGGGGGGATATGCGCATTCTGACGATGCTGGAACGAGCGCGGACACAACAGCTGCCTGCGCGCCGCGCGGGGAGGGAGGGCCGGGGCACTCACAGCGCCCACGCCGGCCGCAGCTCCGGCTCCCGGGGGCCGGGTTGGCCGCGCGACGCGGCGGCCTCTGCGGCTGCGCGCCGGCGGCGGCGCAGGCCCAGTAGAAGGACAGCGGCCAGCGCTATCAACACAACACCCAGGGCTGCAGGCAAAGGAGGGGGTTACGAGGGATGGATTGGACGACCGGGCGGCTTTAGAAGGAGGGTTTCTGCCAAGAAATCGGGCTTTGGATGCGACCATGGAATGGGAGGGTGTGGGGCGGAACGAGGCAGCCGCAGCGGTCGGCGGGACCAGCTCGGCCGGCGTACAAGCGCAAGCTCTGAGCAGGCGCGCCAGAAGCCGCACCAGGCCTCGCCCCCTCGGCCCACTGCGCCACCGCCCCGCGCGCCTCCCCTGGGCCCGAGAGCCCCGCCCGCCGCGCGGCGCCCGGCCTGCCAGCCCCCCCCTCCCACCTGCCCCCAGGCCTGCTCCAAGCGCGACAGACTGCCACTGCCTCTGCGGCGGCGCGCCCCAGACCCCCGACGCGTCCTGTTCGGACTGGTACTCCCGGACTGCACAGCAAGAGGGGGTGCAACGAGGCGCGACGCGTGTGATCGCACGACGAGCTTCCGATGAGCGTCTCTGGGGCGGATCCTGCTCTCGCGGCCTCTCGCAGCCGCGCCCGCGTGGCGGCTAGCAACCCGCAGCGCCTAGGCGGGACAGGCATCCGCGGAGCGGCATCAAACAGATTGGGCGGGCCGGTGCAGAGCCCAGCATTCAGGTGCCCAGCATTCAGGCGGCCAGCGTGTTGGGCTGTATGCAAGGCTGTGCGTGTGCAGTGCTGGGGCGGCGTGGGGGCGTCGGCACTCACAGGCTTGGTCGTAGCAGGGCCCCGGCCCCAGGCTGTCCAGGCAGTCGCGGCTGACCTCTTTAAGGCAGTACCGCGTCAGGTTGTTGATCTCCCACCTGCGTGTGCGCATGTGTGTGCGTGTGTGCAGGGGCATGCGCGATGTGTGTGCGCGCACGAATGTGTGCACGTGTGTTCGTGTGTGTGCGTGCATGTGTGTGTATGTGTGTATGTGTGTGTTGCTGTTTTACAAGATTGTCCGAAAACAGCATGCAGCTTACAGTATGACCCGGCAACCACCTCGCATGAAAGACGACCCACAACTTGCAAACAGCCACCAAGCATCGCAGCGCCCTCCCATCCCCCCAACCCCCAACCCCGCCTGCACTCACATGTAAGCTCCAGTGACGCCGGACCCCGGCCCGCCGCCGTCCATACCCCCGAGCTCCCCCTGCGACCGCGGCTCTATCAAGATATGCGCCGCCGGGACCCTCAGCACGCCGTCGAAGCACTCCCCGTTGAGGCACTGGCGGCCGGGCACAAATTGGAAGCCCCCGGGCCCCGTGTCCGCCTCCACCTGCGCGGCCAACGTCCTGTTCGGCGCCGACGCCGCGGTCCGCACTGGGGACGCGTCCACGTCTGCCTGCGGCACGTCCGCCGGCAGGCAGACCGGGCGCCGCCAGGCCACGTCGTCGAAGCGGAGAATGGATGTGGGGCCCTCGCCCCTCAAAAACTCGGCGCCCGCGCCGGGGCCGTAGCTGAGAGGGAAGAGGGCGGAGGGAAGAGAGAGGGGGGGTGGGGCGTGTGACCCGACAAGAGGGATTCAGGGGGACGCGGCCGCTGGAGGCGGTCTTGCTGCTGCGGGTGGCAAAGGAAAGGGGCGTCCCTAAACAGCAGACGCAGGTGTGGCCGCCGCCCGCAACTCAGGGGCACCAGCCGCAGGAGCAACGATGCAGAGCCGCGCAGCCGCCGCCGCCGCTGCCGCTGGCGGCGCTGCTGCCGCTCGCGTCGCGGCCTGGCCCTCCTCCAGGGCCGCGCCTGCAGCCCCGCCCAGTACCGGCCCCGCGCCCCACTGCCGCACACCACCTGGCCCCGCGAAGCCGCAGTAGATGCTCGCATGCACGGGCAGCTTGGCCGTGCATGGGCGGGCAGGCGCAAATGAGCGCCTGCACACATCGTAAAGTCACGTTTGCGCCCACAAACACCCCACCAGTCGTACACTTGCGTCCCCCTCCTCAATGCACACACGCACACGCACACATGCACACACACGCACGCGCGCGCGCGCACGCGCACACCCAAAAGCGGCCGCCCCACCCCCGTACCCACCGTATCAACGTGACCACCAGATGTTTGAACGTCAACACGCGCCCCGCGCGCAGCAGCAGCACCCCGTCCAACAGCGAAAAATCGATCTGGGGCAGCGGCGGCGGCGCCGAGCAGCCGCCGGGGCAGTAGTCGCCGCGCACGGTGACGTTTCTGGGGGTTTGGGTGGGCGGATCAGGGGTGGGCGCGATGGGTAGGTCAGCAGGCCGAGCGTCGAGAGCGCCGCGCCGCGCCATGCCCCAGGAGTGGGTGCCCACGACACGGCCCTCAGTTTTGCATATCCCAAGGTGTAGATGAGATGTGCATGGCCAGCAAGCACCCTTGCGTTCAGCCATGCGGCTGCATGGGGCTCAGAACGGGCGCGTGTAACCCGGCCAGATCACCTGTCCACAATGACCGGCCCCTTTGACCGGCCGATCCCATAACCCATGAACATGGCGGAGGTTAGGGTGTAGCGGCTGGTTGTGAGCAACACCTGGATTGGGTTGGAGTGGGCACATGGGGGTCCGTGGGGAGGGGCCCGTACGAAGGCCAGCGGCGGGGCGGGGTCGCGGGGGAGCCGTGAGCGCGCCGCCGCCAGAATCGGGCGAACAGCATGCAGAGCGGGCCGCATGGGCGGAACGGACGTCGCACGTGCGCAGGCGCCGCCCCTACCGCGAGAGTGCCGCACAGATGGCTTGCCGCAGATCTGAGGGCTTTCGCACCTGAGTCACGGAAGCGTCTATCAAAGCGGCTGCAAGGTCTGCGGACGCATTTTCGCCTCCCGCCTCGACAGTCCCTGCAGGAAACGGCGGCCCCTGCACTGGCGCTGGCGCCGACGCGGCCTGCGCGGCTGCTGCTAATGATCGGCTGATTTTGGGGCTGCCGGATCGCAAGTCCGGGGCGGCGCGGCCGCTGCAGGGGGGCGGGCAGCACGCCGCCCCCAGCAGCGAGAGCAACACCGCCACCGGTGCTGCCGCATGGCCGGCTTGACGACGCCCTCCGCGTCCCATGGGCGTCTTGCGCTGCCGTATAAATCTGACCTCTACGTATAATTATTTAATGCGTGAAAAAAAGCGATCCGAGAAGCCCGCGTGGACGTCGGACTGTTCCGAACTTTTTGCGCAGTCCGGATCGTGCAGAAAACCCACAAAGGAGCACCACGATGGTTTGGAAAACCCCACAAGCCTCGCCTGACGTGCGTGTCCTTGTGCAGTTCCTGGCCGGCGCACCCCCCGCGGCTGCCCGCTGTGCGTGCCATGATGATTCACCCTGGACACTCTTTTTGGGGCAACTGCATGTGGCCCTCGACAACTATCCCCGCGGACACATGGATCATGACTCGTCTCGCCTAGACACAGAATCTTGGCTTGTCCGAGGCGCGCATGGAGTCCCATGCTGAAGGATCTGGCTCGTTACTCCGCATGGCAGGCGCGCTCGTAAGCCCAGCGCCGCCACCACATCAGGGGCGGACAAACACTGCGATGTTGCACAGCAGGTCAGGCGCTGCAGCATGCGCAGGATTTACACAGGCTCAGCAAAGTATGGCTGCAAGTAGCTTATCCCAATCGTGGGTTAGGGAAGGAAACGCAGCACCAGCACCTGCTCCGGCACAAGGGCAGGCTGCTTCTTGGCAAAGCAACCCTGCTTCGCGGCACAGGCGGCGCGCAATGTGTAGAATGATGCGCTCGCACTCGGGTGTTCCCAGCCACCGCCGCCAAGAAGCCGGGCCTAGGCGCCCGAGGGGCCCAGGCACCTGGCCAGTCGGCGTCGGCGTCGCCGGCGGCGCGGCGTGGCATTGCAGCCAGCGCTGGTAGCCGGGCCGCGCGCCGCAGCGGCAATGAGAATTGATTCCGGATAGAACATTGAGGCAGGGGGTGATTAAAACGCGTGCTGCACCAACAACAACAGCCAGCGGAGCGCGCATGGCTGCACACCAACAAGATTTATCGTTTGACCACGGACGCACACGCAAACTCCAACGCCCTTAGATGCCACAAATGCTGCCGCCACGCTTCCGATGCAGCAGCACACCCCGCTTCGCCGGCGCCCCTGGCCAGGGGCCCAGATCAGCTCCAGGGGCCCCGATCAGCTCCAGGGCTGGCGCTCGCTGCTTGCAAAGATGCTGTAAAACACGGCGCCGAACAGCTGGCAGGCGGCGGTGGGGAAAAAAAGGGCGAGGGCCCAGCTGCCGGTGGCGTCGAGGAGGTAACCCGCGCTGGTGACGCCCAGGACGCCGGGCAGCGCGCCCGCGGTGTTGGTGATGCCCAGCAGGGCGCTCGCGTACTTTGGGGACAGGTCCTGGTGTGGCGAGCGGGGCGCATGGTGGGGGGAGGGGTCGCGCTCGGTTGTGGGGTGCCTGAGGTTGCGAGTCGGGGGAAGGCCGCGCACACAACCAACAGCGGCGCCCAACGAAATCTTCCAGGCTTTGATCGGCCAAGGGCCTGACCCGTACCCCCATCCCAAAATGAGTCGCATCGGGCCGCTGAGATCCGCAGATCCTCAGATCTGCTCCACTCTGACACTGGCCTGCGCAGCGGCATGCTACCTGTACCTGGCCCCCGCCGGACCCCGAGCACCACAGGTGGCCCCACCTGGTGGTTGCAGTAGAGCCCCGCGCGGCTCCACGCGCCCAGCGCAAAGCCCAGCGACAGCAGCCCCACCAGCAGCGCCGTCTGCGCGCTGCCGACCGCCAGGGGCGCCGCCGGCGTCAGCGCCGCGCAGGCGACCATGCACACGGCCGGGCCCACAAACGCCAGGCCCTGGGCGAGCTTGCGCACCGACGTCAGGTCCCAGCCGCGCTTGATGAGGCCGTCGGCCACCGGCCCCACCACAGGCGTCATCGCGACCATGGCGACGTACCTGATGACGGCGGCAGGCGTGGGGAGGCAGGCAGGCGGCGGTCGGCGCCGGGCCGGGCGAGAGAGCGCGGGAGCGAGCGGGTGGTGGATGGCTGGCTGTGATGGTGCCGCGCTCCGCGGCCAAACGGTGGGCTCGCCGAAGTTCAAGGGGCGCGCGCCGGCACAACTCTGCAGTGCTCCGTCTCTCCCGCGCTGCCACGGCGCGTGCGCCATGGTCAAGGCTGCTGCACGGTTGCGCAACTGTCAGCGCCTCCTCATCCACCTCAGCGCACACGCCAGGCACCCTCCTTCGCGAGCATTACGGGGAGGGCTCACGGGATGAGAGTCAGGAAGGAGGACTCCTGCACGTTCAGCCCCAGGGCCAGCTCAAAATATGAGGGCAGCCACGCCAGGAGGGTGTAGTAGCTGCGGTCAAGGGACGAGAGCAGGCATGACAGCCGTGAGCTGGCAGCCGAGCGTGCAAGAAGACAGGCCAAGGCCATTGCCCGATGGCTGCAGGTACGGCTGGTGCCGCCCGTCCCAGCTGCGAGATTGCAGCAGTACCCATATGGTGCCGCTGACATGCCGCAAGGATGCGCTCCTTATACAGCGGTCCCATTGAGCACTTGGTGCCCACCCCCAGTTGAAGCAGAAGTGCGCCACCGTGACAGCCCAGACCGGCGCTGACGTCATGAACGCGCCCCATGGGACAGCCTCCGGACCCGCCTTCTTTTCCCGCTGCTCTGTTTCCCGCCGCTGCGCTTCCTGCTGCTGCCGCTGCAATTTCTGCTGCTGCTGCTGCTGCTGGCTGATGCCTGGCTGCTGCTGACTGCTGCTTCTGGTCTCAGCTTGCCGACTGTACGGACTCGAGCGAAGGTTCTGGGCAGGGGCCGTTGCGGTGCGTAAAGAGCGAGGGTCAAGGTAGCCGCGGGCATGTATTGAGACATGAAGCACACAACTGCGTAAGGGCCAGCCGCGGCACACCCTGACATGGCAGGCCGGGCACCATGTCGCAGCCGCGCCCACTTCCGCTGCAGCAGCAACCCAGGTCACGAAACGCCATCTCGAAGCCCGCCCGTGCGCCCGCGCAGGAAGGCTCACTGTTGTCGCTTTTCTGGCGCCCGCGTATCAGCTGCCGGGTGCCTTCCACTTCAGCGCTGCAACACATGCCCTCTGACCTGTCTCCATATATGATATGCAGCCTGGGTCAAACAACCGCTCACCTCATCCAAAAACTCGTCCACGCTGTCCGCCACGTTCCTGGCGTCCATGATCGCCTCCGCTGCGCCCGCGCTGCTGCCCGCATCCGCGCCAACCGGCGCCCGCGGCACGCGCACGCGACCGTTGGGCCGCGTCGCCAGCTGCTCGAGCTGCGGCGGGAGAAGATGAGCGGCCGCGGTCGGCGCGGGCGCTCAGAGACGCCTGCCGGCCACCAATGCCCGCCGCCACCCACTGACCGCGCCCCCGCCGCGCTGCTGGTGTGCGTTCACACAGGGAGCGGCTCCGGGCGCGCACTTCCCGCCTCCGAGCAGCCCGCCGCTCCCTTGCCCTGGCCCAGCGCGGTTGCGCGCGTACGGCCCTCTGGCCCCAGCGCCCACCTTGACAGCCGGGTCCTCCAGCTCTGGCTGGAACATAGGCCAGAACAGGCACCAGACGCCGCCCAGCACGGCAAACAGGTAGAACACGCTCGGCCACCCGTACAACCGGATCAGGGGCCCCGACAGCAGCAGCCCGACCGCGCTGCCGACGTCCAGGCCGCCCCAGACAGTGGTCACGGCGCGCGACCGCTCGGTCGAGGGGACCTGCCTGGCCAGCACGCTGGTGGCCGCGCTGGGCGCGAAGCCCTCGCCCAGGCCGACCAGCACTCGCGACGCGCAGAGCGCCCACAGGCCCAGGTGGGCCGCGGGCGGCGCGATGAGCGTGCCAAAGGACCACAGCGCGACGCCCGCCATGAGCACCTTGGCGCCGCCGATCCTGAGGGGGTGTGCGGCAGCGGCGCCGGCACGGGTGTTTTGCACGGGCTTTGGGCGCTGCGGCTCCGCCAGAGAAGCGATGCCTCTTTATTTGGCAAACCCATGCTGGCTGGACGGGAAGCTGCTGCCCCTCTCCTACACCAGCTGCACCGCCTGGCGCGACATGTCGAGCAGAGCCCCGCGCCCCCGCCTGCCGCGCGCCCCGGCACCTGGTTGATATCCAGCCCGCAGGGACCTGAGTCAGCGAGTAGCCCCAGAAGAAGCTGCTCGACACCAGCCCGCGGTCCGTGGCGCTCCACCCGAGGTCGCGGGCCATGGGAATCACTGCGACTGACATGTTGACCTGCGGGCGCCGCCATGGGGATCTTTAGGGGTTCGGGAGCGGCGTGGCGCAGGAGCACGGGTTGCGCAGGGCACAAGGGCGTATACAGGCTGCGGGAAGCATTCCCGCGAACAACGCTGGGGCGAAAGCAGTGTGCAAGGTGTGGAGGGCGAACACACGCACGCGCGTGCGGTCCGTCGATCGGATGGCGGCAGTGGCATGCGTCGCATCTCTACAGCATGGCTCACCTTGTCCTGAAGGGGTTCATCCAGGTTGTAAGGGGAGTTGGGGATGCGGGAAAGCGCGGTAAGCAAGAACGCAGTGGGTGATGCCCCTGGGAGTAACCTGGTAGGGCTTCCATCTTTCCACAGACTGCACATGCCTGCATCCCCCAAAACATTGTGTCATGAAGCAGCCTGAGATGCATGCTGTTACTGTGCCATGCCTGCATGCAGCTCAAAAGAAGTGAGCCTGCAGCGACGGTGAGGGTTGCCAGCGCCAGCAGAGCTGGTGCGCTGCTCAGCACCAGCACAGCTGGTGCAACGCTGGTCACGGCACGTTTTGCGACGGCTCACCATGTTGCACAGCACGAAGGCAACTGCCATCATTGTGACGAGTCTCCAGCGATGAGGGATGCCCTGCTTGGGCTGCTCGGCCGGGACCTGGGCGTTGCTCCCGACAGCCCCCACTGCGCTGAGAGCCCCATTGCTGTCCACGCTATAGCTGTGAAGCTGATCCTGTGACCCCTCTTCCGTCACATGCGTTGCTGCAGCGTCGTTGTCGGCAGGCAGAGCTCGCGACTCCCAGATCGCCTCCCCAGGCTGCTGCTGCCGACGCAGGCCCACGGAAGTAGAAAGGCGCTGATTAACGGGCCTGAAAAAGACTAGCCCGCCAGGTCTGGCCCCCGCAGCGCCGAATGCCGGGGCCCTTGCCCCGAGCATGCTGCAGTGTCCGGACTGGCTTTACTTTGCTTGATCCTGGCAGCGTCTCGTGACCCTAATGACCTGCGCTGAGCGCGGGAGATCACTTCAAAAGATTGTCTCAAGGCCACATCCGCGACCGACTGTGCAGAATTCGGCAAGGACGAGCAATACCAGCCTCTCAAGTTACGGAAAACGACACGATACTAAAGTTTGAATAGGTGAACAACTGCACATTGCGTCCGATTGCGCGTGAGCCTGGCAGCAGCCTGGTTACAAGACCTCAGTTTGCTCCGCCATGCCGGGTTCTGCCTGGCTCACAATTGTTATGATATGAGAAGCACTTGCTTTTCTCTAGTAGGGCGACGGTGGACCCGGGAGGCAGTGGATCCGGGCCTGCCGTGGTGGTCGGCAGGTGCGTGAACTGTTGACCGGCAGCTGAAGAGCAGGAGAGGGTCCTTATGTAATCGCGCCTGCAGAGGGCGTCACGTGTTATGTGTGACAGCTGACGTGCTGTGAAGATGTGCATCTGGGCGACATAGTATCTCACAATGCCAGCCTCCCAGGTGTGGGTGTTCGCGGACAGGTGGCAGCTACACAAGTGCAGTGCCCTCATTATGCTCGCGCTTGAGCCCGACGCATGCTTGCGACCATGAATGGCCATTGTTGTGACCATGTATACAATCCTCATCGGCATTCTGGCCTTGATATGCTGACATGTCATCACTACCGTATCTTACGTATGTATGCCCAGCAAATGTGTGTCTGCATTATCAATGTACAGTAATCAGCCGGGGAGATGCCCAGTCAGGCAGAGTAACATACTTACATGCCTACATGCAAGCCACTCTATGCGACAACAATTGCAAAGGGAACAGGTTCACGCTGACGCCAACATGAAATAATTTGGCACGTTGTGTGCGATCTTGCCGTCACTGATAGCACGTAAAGTCTCACGTGTGAAGGCGCCGAATTTCGCTGATGAAGGATTGCAACCTGTTTTGGTCTTCACACTGCACTAGAGCGCCGTCCGCCCTGCGCAAGTGCAACAGCAGTGCCACGGTGTGGCCGATATGCTAAGCATGCACATCATCAACGCGTTCATACATATCCGAGGAGTGATCAACGTGGTTCTTGGGTGTTTGGATGATATTACCGACGGTGCTGTCACAGTATACCCATGTATCATACCAAGAGGAAGCCGAGTTGACTCAGTCGAACGATCGAAACGACGATGGCCATAATGGAAGGACAGAACTGCTCGACGAGCAATACCAGCCATAATGAACAGCAGGCGGTCTGGGATGCGTTGGGCAGGTGCGTGTTGCTCGACGTGCCGCGCATGCTGATGGGATGCGCACGCGCAGGTGTGTGTGTGTGTGTGTGTAGTGTCATGGGCGCGGAATGCCACGCTCAACACCTTGCGCAACACCGCGTGATTGCACGCATCAAAACATACCCATCAATAGGGACACTGCCGCGGGAAAGGCGCTTTTTGCGCTGTATGGCGGTCAGCAAGAGGCAGTGCGCACCGGCTTGACGTTCAGCGCTCGCAACCGCCGGCGCTTTGCGCGCCAGGCGAGCCGTGCGCCACCCCAGAAAGTCGTTGCCGCGCCGCCTCGCCCACCGCCACGGCCGAGAATTGCCGTGCCGCGCGTCGGCCGGACTGCAGGCAGCGCTTGCGGTGACGGCCCCGCCGCCCGAGCCGCAGCCCCCCTTCGGCGGCCTCGGGAGGTCATACTTGCGCAGCTGCGCGCAGCGGCAGAGGAGGATGCCGCCGGCAGAGCGCTGCTGCCTCCAATGAGGCCGTTGCTGGACGACACCGAGAAGCAACGGCTGGCTGTTCTGATGCAGTACAGGGGCAAACCACCCTCTCCTGCGGCAGCGCCAGCAGACACTGGGCGAGGGCGCCGCGGCGGCGCAGTCGACGGCAATGGAAGTGACGCGGCTGCGTGTGCGGCGCAGAGTGGCGAGGCCCGCAGGCTGCAAGCTCGGTTTGATGCGCTGGCGAGCGAGGTCGCAGAGCGCGAGGAGTGGCAGGCCTCGATGAGGCGCGATGGGCTGGTGCGGCCGGGCCATGTAGGGGTTGTCCGGCTGGAGATTGCAGAGCGGGCCGCGCAGATGGCACGGATCGACGACCGGCTGCGGCGGCTCGAGCTGGAGGGGTGCCGTTAGAATGCGTCGGGTGGTAGCAATGCGAGCCCAAGGGATGTGGCCTCGAGGCGGCCTGGTAATGCTCAAAGCGCATGCTGCGTTTGTTGCTGCGACTTGTCTTGCACAGATGTTCTTGAGCGCCAACATCAGCCAGCATTCATATGATAACTCAAGCCGCGCGTCGATTGTGGACCTGTGATAGGGCGGGGCGGCAGCGGCGACGAGTGCAGCTTGCGCTGCATCAACAGCCATCAGTCATGCAGGAAGGCACGGAGGGGGCAGCTGGTCGGGGAATCAACGCTGAGTGCTGGGCTCTCCAGCTCAGCTTGAAGGTTGTTTTGAGTGAAGCGTCATTGGTTTGTTTGAGTATACTAAATTGATTTAAGCTTTTCAGTTTCACCAGCTGTCAGGGAGGACTCAAAAACTGATCTTGCTTGTCATCGACCCACCTGATGCTCGAGGAGCACAGCGCGGCTGTGGGAAAGGTGAGACAATCAATTATAGTCATGGCGTGCCCGTTTGTAAAGCAGCCTCGCCAGCCGGAGCTCACAATGATTTGTGGCATCGCCGATTCGCCGCTCCACCCACAGGAGAACGCTAAAAGGGGCGCAGCAGGCCAGGACGGAGGCCCCTCAAAGCGTTTAGCGGCCGCGGGTGGCCAGGTGGCTCCCGCTATGAAGCAGCCTCTCAAGACGAGCAGTGTTGCGGTCAACAGGCTGGGCGCACAGCATGCGGCGCCATCAGCAGGAACGGGCGCGCAGAAGACGACCGCCCCTGTGGCTAAGAAGCACGCACAGCAGCAGCAGCAGCAGCAGCAGCAGCAGCAACAACAACCAGCGCTGCAGACTCAGCAGGGACAGCAGCAGCAAGCGAGCGGTGGCAACCCTGCCCATGGCCCCGGCGTCGAGCGCCAGGCGGCAGCGGCGAGTACCAGCGGCGCAGGCGGCGGCAGCGCACGAGGGGGCCAGACATGGCAGCTGGACGACTTTGACATCGGACGGCCGCTGGGGCGCGGCAAGTTTGGCAATGTGTACCTCGCGCGGGAGAAGAAGAGCCAGTACATCGTCGCGCTCAAGGTGTGTGGATCCCGGCGCGGCGTGGATACGATCAGCAGGGGATGCGAGGTGCTCAGTAGAGCGGCAGCAATCCGGTAGCAGGCCTTCAGTAGATCGCAGCGCTGTGGTGAATAATCTCAGCTGCAGCCGCAAGAGTCAATGTGCCAAGCATGAGCAGCACGATATGGGTTGCATAGGTCCCTCTCCTTACCCCCTCTCGTCCCCCCCCCTAAACCTCAAGGTGCTGTTCAAGAGCCAGCTGGCGCAGTCCAACGTTGAGCACCAATTGCGGCGCGAGATCGAAATCCAGTCGCACCTGCGCCACGCCAACATCCTGCGTCTGTACGGCTACTTTTACGACCAGGTGCGGCAAAGTGTGCCAGTCACCACCTAGGACGCCCTCTGCATGCATACATCACACACAGACACACACACATACACACACACACACACACACACACTTCGCGCACGCGCGTGTGTGTGTGTGCATTCCCCGGACGCTAAGAGCTGTTTGCCCATCCGCCTGCCGTGTTGTTTCCGTCATATTGCAGGAGAAGGTGTACCTGATCCTGGAGTACGCGGCCAAGGGGGAGCTCTACAAGGAGCTGCAGCGAACAGGCCACTTTGACGAGAGGCGCACGGCCACGTGAGGCACGGGGCGGGAGAGGCGGCGAGGTGCTGTGCCGGCTGTGGGGGGGCACCTGTGCACTCCAACAGCCCAAGCCCTGGCCCTAGCACTGCAGCGACATTCCCGTCTTTTAGTGCCATCGCCGTTCTGTTTCGGAGCAGTGCAGGCTTTGGCCACCACTGTAGTTCACATGCACCCAGTTCACGGCCCTGTTTCGAAATCAGTGGGCTGCTGGGCGCAACCCCTCTGTTGCAGGTACGTCGCCTCTCTGGCCCGCGCCCTGCACTACTGCCACACCAAGCACGTCATTCACCGCGACATCAAGCCGGAGAACCTGCTGGTGGGTGCTGCACCCCTCCGCGCGTGCCCGTGCATGCGAGCGAGAGAGAGAGACTGCGTGTGTGTGTGTGTGTGTGTGTGTGTGTGTGTGTGTGTGTGTGTGCATGTATGCATGTGTAGTGTGTGTGTGTGTGTGTGCGTGTGTGTGTCGGGAAACAGCGCACGCGTGCGTACGTGCGTTGAGCCCAACAGAGTCTGGGGCGAGTGGGATCGCCCGTTGTGTGACGTTTGACGCAACAAGCAACTTCCAGTCCTGCGTTGAGCCAATCAAACCTGAGAAAATCTTGGCCTTGGTTATCCACAGGTCGGGATGGACGGGGAGCTCAAGATCGCAGACTTTGGCTGGAGCGTGCACGCCCCCCACAACCGGCGGCGCACGCTGTGCGGCACGCTGGACTACCTGCCCCCGGAGATGGTGGAGGGGCGCGACCACGACACTAGTGAGCTTGGCAGGGGTGGTGGTGGTGGTGGCCACGGGTGCCGGTGGCGGGTCCCCCAAGCTGTGCAACACTGCAGACGGGCGCCGCGAGGGCGGCACGCCTGGGGGTTGAGAGTTGCTTCCTGCAGTGGACGACCAGAGCATGGTGCTCGCGTCACCGGCAAGCCGCCAAGCTGAAGCGGCGCACGCGCACGCGGGCGCGCGCAGGCGTGGACATCTGGGGCCTGGGTGTGCTGACGTACGAGTTCCTGTTTGGCGCGCCGCCGTTCGAGGCGGCCGGCCACCAGGACACGTACCGCCGCATCGTGCGAGTGGACCTGCAGTTCCCGGACGCCCCGCGCGTCAGCGACGGCGCCAAGGATTTCGTGCGCAGGGTGAGCGGTGCTGGCGGCTTGGACGCAGGCAGCGCGCGATGGTGGGACCAACGCTGCGGCTTGTCGATGGGGTGGCTGCCTGGGGCCCTTCTTGGCTGGCACAGTGGGGAATAGCACCAATGGGTACATGCACACGATCCTAAAAGTACGTGTATAGACCTGACCCCCGCTTGCTGCGACCATGCAAGCTCGCGGCAAACCAACACCCAACAATCTCTGCACGTGCACGCGTGCGTGCGCGCGCGCGCACACACACACACACACACACACACACCAAGACGCATACCATACACACGCACGTGCACAGCTGGCGTGCATGCTCATATCCTCCAGCTCTCACCCCCACACTCACTCACACTTTCACATCAACACACACGCACACGCGCCTGCGCGCTGACACACGCCCACAGCTGCTGGTGAAGGACGTGGGGGCCCGGATGAAGCTGCAGGATGTCGCGGCGCACCCCTGGATCCGCGCCAATGCAGACCCCAAGGCGCTCGCTGGGGGCAGCGCCAGCGGCGCCAGGGCGTAGCTGCGGGGCGCCCTCTTGCGAAGATCTCTCCTCTCAATGCGCACTATCAGTTCCGGCATGGACGTGCGGTGCTCGATTGCCTGGCTAAGGACTTTACAAGCTGCCGTGGCATCCCAAGGGATCTGCAACATAATGGTAACTTAACCAGTCTCATGTGACATGGGATGCACGTACGGCGCAAACATGGACGGGGTGGGCTGCATGACGCCTGAATTCAAGTGGACTGGGAAATGCTTGCTCAGCTGGGTGGGCCACGCACTGCTGGCTGTTTGGTCAGTGAGGGTGATTGGCCCCATCCGTGTTGGGCGCCTTCGCGGGGTGCTCAAAAGCTTTTCAGTTTGAGGTGTTGAGAATACCACATCAAACGCGCGGCCCGGAAAATCTGGCTGGACGCTGCTTTGCCTGCCATGTCTGCTGACCTGCCCGTCCAAAGACACCTGTGGTCCGTGCCTGCCGGGGCGCGGCGATACACGAGAGCTGACCATGAGCACTAGAAAGTGCGCCACTGAGTGCATGATAGTGCTGATCAGCCGGGGCGACTGGATGCAGCCCTGTGCCCCAAACACCGGGGAAGTGCATGTGGGCGGGTGAGCTGCCGGTGCGATCGCTGTGACAAACCGTTCCTGATCTCTGTGGCGCCGTCTTACTGTGTGTCCATGCGTCGTCACTGGCCCACAGTGGGCGTGCCAGCCAGGGCCACGCAGAATTGACGGCACACGCCGCAGGTCAGGCATCAACGCAGGGTTAGCAGATAGCATGAGTGGTCTGCCCAGTTGGCGTACGGTGCAGTGTTCGCAGCTAAAACAGGTGCCGTACCGCCCGTTGCTTTGGTGCGGGGTGACGGAACGCGCGGTAGAGATTACCCGACGGTTGCTGTGCAGATTAGAGTCTGCGTCGATCATTTTTTTCGGTACCAAAGCTCACAACTTGGGACAGGCTAGTGGGACCCTTGTATATACATATTAGGACAAAACGATCCAGCGCTCAACTCAGCGCTTACAAACGCCCCTCGATCTACACTCTTGCCGCTCCGCGTGGTAAATCGGAAGCACCAACGACAGCCCATATTAGAAACTTGGACTACGAAAAGCGACGATGGAGTGCCTCCGGGCTTCCGGCTCGTCAGGTCAGGCGTGTTTTGTAAACCGCAAGAGACAGCCCGGCATGATGAGCTTTCATGGTTCGCGGCCATTCAAGGTTGCCTGACACCCCGACGCCACTTGGCCACCATACGTCCACCAGCAGGGCTAGACCTTGAGGCCCGCAGTTGCCCGCAGCTGCCCAACCGGATGACCGATGACGACCTGGCGGCGCTCGTCGCCCCCAGCCGAGCGGCCTGCGGGTTGTCGCACTCCAGCAGCACCTGCAGCACTGCCACTGCCAGCTGCTCCAGCTTCGACGACGTTGACGGCAGCAGCAGCATGTCCAGCGGGGCCACCTCGTGCTGCGGTGACGACGGCGAGCGTGCAGGCTCGGCGGCAACCGCCCTGCTCGCCGCCGCCGCCGCCGCCGTCAATGGGGACTGCGGACGCAGCAGAGCGCGCCACCAGCGCCGGCAGCGGCGCGCCAGCACCGCCGACAGCGTCAGCAGCACAATCGGCGGCTTCGGCGCCCCCCGCCGCTCCGCCGCCTCGGCCGCCGCTGCGGCCCCGCCGCCGCGGTGGCCCCACCCCATAGCCCCGCACCCCGCCGCCGGCCCCGTCACCCGCTCCTCCCACTCCGCCGTCACCCCCGACGGCTGGCGCCTGTACCTCCGCCGCGTCGTCCGCGCCGGCGTCGCCGCGGAGCCCCAGCGCGAGTGCCCCGTCATCCTCTGCCCCGGCCTCGCGTCTGGAGGGGTGGAGTCCTTTGACCTGGACCCGTCCGTCTCCATGGCCCAACACCTGGCGGAGCACGGCTTCGACGTCTGGTGAGCCAGGGCGCCGCGGTTGCCGATAGCCCGCCTGCCAGCCCGCCAACAGGACACTTTCGCGCTTACTGTTGCGGCTGGCCCGGCTGCGTTTGTTGTTAATCCGTGTGTTGTTAATCTTCCGCCGCTGGCCGGGGCGGAAAATCGCGCTCCTTCGACAGCCTGCATCCGGCTGCTGCCCATAAACCGCCCGAACGCCTCTCCCTTCACTCTGCACTCCAGGGTCCCAGATCTGCGCGGCAACGGCCGCAGCGACAGGCCCAACTGGTGGGACCGGAAGACCTGGTGGACGGTGGGTGGCCCGCACCGGCACGCCCGCGCTCGTTCCCGCTTCACCCGAGCACCCGCCGGCGCTGCCCTTGGAATGTGTATACAGTGTATGGGGCGGAGCGAGCACTGCAACAGCGGGGCCACACGCCGCCGCTTTCAGCAGCGCCGCAGCGCTGGGCGCTCGAGCTCCCCCCTTCGTATGCGCCCTTGCGCCCCGTCGCCCTTGCTACCCTCATCGACCCCCCCCCCCCACCACCCTTGTCAATTTGCACACGAGCACACATTAGAACCCATTGTTGTCACCTACACACGCATGCAATCCCCAGGTTGATGACCACTTGATGCTGGACCTGCCCACAGTCATCAACGCCGTCCTCACAACCACGGGCGCCCCCCAGGCGAGCCCCCC